CGCCTGGCTGGGTTTCCCCTTGGCCCGGGTGTGGGGGGGGAATGGGGGGGGGGGGCCCTCTGGGGGGGGGGGTGCAGCCTCTGTTGGGTGCACTTGGCAGGATGAGGCTGCCTCCTGTGTGCTCTCCTCCCAGAGGCCCTGCCTTCCCTCCTCTCCTCCCTTCCCCCACCTGGGCTTTGGTAGCTCATCCTTCAGGCCCTCCCTCCAGCTACTGGCCAGGTTCCCTGGCTGCCTGCCAGCTCCTCATCACTCTGCACGGCCAGCCAGGGCAGCTGCAGTCTGCTCTACCTGGGGGCATTTACCACAGGACCCTGCCCTGGCATTCTGACAAGGGGGACAGTTGTGGTGCCCTGGGGCTGCCTCCAGCTCTCCTGTGACTCTCTGTGAACCCCTGGGCATGTTGGTGGCCTACCCTGGCCACAGGGCTCAACTTCCTGCGCAGAACTGGTTAATCCCAAGTGGGATTAAGAGCTGAGCCCTGGGCCAGGCTCAATTAATGTTGCTCTGGCCCTACCTCCCCTTTAACTTTGCCTGCCGCAGTGCATCTGTGGCTTGGGGGCTGCAGTGTGTGCATGCCATCTCCCAAGTGGTGGCCATGTATGCCAGCTGCACCTGTGGATCCTGGGCCAATCTATCATTTCCATAGAAGGAGGTTCCTCTATTCACTATTCTAGGCATAGTGGAGATAAACGGATGTCTTGAAAGGAGGGAACACAATTAACGTGTCCACTATGGTTCGGATTTGGTTGCCTCTTCTGAAACTGGTATTGAGATTTGATTGCCAATGTGAGGGTGTTGGGAGGTAGGCCTTAAAGGTGCAGTTAGATCGTCATGAGGAATTGATGCAGATCTCTCTCAGGAACAGATCAGTTCTGTAAGAGTGAGATGTCATAAATGAGGTGGTCTTGTGTGTTTTGCCTCTTTAACACACACATTTATTTTTTCACCTTGGGCCATGTAAGGATACCCTCAGCATGTCCTTGAACTTCCCAGCCTCCAGAACTAAGAGCTGAAACAAACCTGTTTTCTTTATAATTTACTCAGTCTCCAATATTCTGTCACAGTAACAGAAAACTGACTAAGATGTATCAGATAAAAGAAGTGTTATAGAGAAAACAAAGCAGGGTAACAGGGTCAGGGGAGTTTCTATGCATCAACTCTGGATCCTCTGTCTATCTACCTATCTGTCCTCTATCAATCAATCATTTAGAATAATTTGTGCAGGGTGGTTATGGAAAGCCTTGCCATTAAGATGATTCTTGAAAAGAACTGTTCAGGCAGAGTGAGAGAGGTCATAAAACTGAAAAGAGTATTCTGTGCTATGGGAGAGCAGCAAGAGCAAAGGCCCTGGGGTCAGACCATATTTGGTGTGAAAGAACATTGGGAGCACAGTGCAGTGAAGTGGACAGCAGGGTCTGGAGGTGGGGGGTTGAGGCTGCTATCTCTTGGGTTTTTACCAAGAGAAGGGATCCTGGGAAGATTTAAGCAGAGGAGTGAGGCAAGCTTCCTTCTGTTCCCAAAACTCACTCTGTCTGGCCACTGTGTTCAAGTGGGAGGGAGCTGCAGCCAGGAGGGGCCAGAGGATATTTCAACAATCTGTGAGGAGTCGTGGCCAGGGAGGAGAGAGTTCTGGGGTGATGACTCAGTCAACAAGACAGCTCATTGGCTAGCAAGCCTAGGCAGCCAGTGAGCTCCAGGCTCAGTGAGAGACCCCATCTCAAAAACAAGGTGGAAAGAGATGGAGGAAGATACTCGACATCCAGCTCTGGGTGATACATGCATGTGCACACACATGCATACACACAAACGTATACATACAACACACAGATACACGAACAGATGCACACAGACACACACACATACACACAGATACATGTAGATACACATGTGGACACACACACATAGACACACACATAGTCACACACAAACATGGCACAGAGTCAAGGCAGCCAGTGTAGGTGGTAAAAAGCAAATCCAGGCCGTGGGAGGAGTTGACAGGTCAGAAAGGGGACGCGTAATAGAATGGTACTTCAGCCTCAGCCACGGTGGGCACAGCGGGCTGAAGACACTGTGGGGAGGGCGGATGTGGGGAGGGCGGAGGCCTGTTGCTGCCTCACAGTCACTTTGGACACAGGCCCAGCAGCACTGTGCTATCCACGGTCAGGTACTCAGGGTCAGGCCCCAGCTACTGGGTGAGCTTGGGATCTGGCCTGGGAGGTCAGGTGAGAGGGTAAGGTTGCTGAGCAGTGGACCAGTGTGGATGGAGAAGAGGGACCAGGATAGCCTCCTGGATACCACTGGGGAAGGTGCTTTGGGAAGAGAGAGTTGTCCTCATGTAGAGCCTGCTGATGGGTGGGTGACTGCTTAGTCACCTTACCCAGGACAGTCCCTGAAGTCACTGCTCATAGTGTCCTCCCCCCCTTCT